TGCGAGCTCCCAAGATATTCCCTCACCCTCTTTCTTCTTGTCCTTGTCGTTTTGTCTGAAACGCAGCGTTCAACGTCAACCTCTCGTTCCGTCGTCATCATCAGCCGTGGAGGTTCAGAAACAAAGCCGGTTTCTTCATCAATGTTCATCAGAGGTATTCTGCTATTCTCTCCTCCTTCGCCCCTTGAAGAAGAGAAGAACGATTATAGTCGAAGCAGATTCATATGCGTCATGTTTCTCACAGGCTCGTCCCTTCTGGACCAAAACCCTCTTCATAATTGATCGCTTTGCCTATGATCGAAGATATATATATATTATATCTGTATGTATGTATATGTAATGGATCAGACTAGAAGATTAAAGCTTAAGCAGTTGAGTATGTCATATATGTAATATATAGAGTTCACTTCAGTACTCTGAATCTATGTTTTTATACTCTGTGGTGTGTTGCTTTAAATTAAAATCCTTTTTGGTTTCTTCTGGTGAGAGTTTTGTAACAGATCAATGTTCATTCTAGTTTTGGTTTCCTGTAAATGGTTCTCTCCGGTGGGTGCTTCTTTCTGTTAGGAGCTCCATTATAATATATTATGATAGGGACTAATTACTAATTTATAAATTAAAAGTTAGTCATAAGCACGGATTAGTTGATCTGAGCTTTGAAACTTAAAGGCGAAATACTCCCCCGGTTTTTTTTTTTTTTTTAAAAGCAACATCTTTATTAACTATTTCATAGGAACTATGAAAAAGCAGTTAAAAGTGATTTATATTATTAAAAATGATTAAAAAAATAGTACTATTTTCTCATATCGCATTATGAGAAGAATTTAATGGTATTGACAGTTTACAGAGTTTCGTATATTTTGAACTAATAATAGTTGGTAAACGATGTCCTATATTGAAGCTATATGATAAACTCATTGAAATTAACATGTAATTCTTCTAGTAGAGGTTGAAAAAAATGTATAGTAAGAATTGAAGCTCCACACGCCAAAAACAAAGTCAAGCAGTCAAGCTTGACACTCTACGTATATGTAATGGATCAGACTAGAAAAATTAAAGCTGGAGAGCAGTTGAGTATTTTTATTTATATATATATATATATATATATATATATTGTTCAGTACTCTGATTCTATGTTATACTTCTGTGGGTGTGTTGTTTCAAAGTAAAATTCTTTCAGATTTCTTCTGGTGAGAGTTCTGAAACAGGTTGGTGTTCATTCTAGTTTCAGCAGTCCTGTAAATGGTTCTCTCTGGTGGGTGCTTCTTTCCGTTAGGAACTCCATTATAATATATTATGATAGAAAAGGACTAATTACCAATTTATAAGTTAAAAAGTTAGTCATAAGCACGGATTAACTGATTTGAGCTCTCAAAAAAGACAAAGGCGAAATACTCTCCCCCGGGTTTAACAAAATACGGAACACCTTCTATTAACTACTTCATAGTAATTATGAAAAAGCAGTTAAAAGTGGTTTATATTACTAAAAATGGTATAAAAAAAAGTAATAGTACTATTTTCTCATATAACCTTCCAATTTATTTTAATCATCTTTGATGTCTTGTTATAAGAACTTCCTATATTTTTGAAGTAATAATAATTGGTACAATATGTCCTATATTATTTAGAAGTAGAGGAAGTATGGGCCAAGTCATTGAAATTTAGATGTAATTCTTCTAAAAGGTTGAAAAACGGTATAATAAGACATTGAAGCTCCGCACGCCGAAAACAAAGTCAAGCAGTCAAGCTTGACACTCTACGTATTTGATTACTACCCATTCAAGGGGCAGATGGGAGTTTATTGTTTTCATTGAAGTTCAACATACTAATTTTATAGTAGTATTAATTAAAATGATGAGGGGTAAAGGTGAATTAACAAAAAAAATAATATTTTATTGTAATTCATGGTGAAAATTATTTTTTCTCACAAGATTTTTGTGCTTTAATAATAATTATTTTAATTTTTAAAAATAGGAGTATCTTTATCAGTTGGAACTAATCTCTCTCAATATATATAAAAGAAAAAAATTTTTTTCTAAATAGATTTGTTTCATATGAAATGTTAGAAATTAAACTTTCAATAATTATCTACTTAAGAGGAGAATTCTCGCAATTCATGTAAAATTGAACTGGTCGTATTTTTAATTTTAAAGTTAATTCATATTTAATATTTTGATTCCCTTGAATGCCATTACAGTGGAGGCTCCCGTGTGCTTAGAATGAGGCTTGGATACTCATAACGGGAGGCCCAAGTCCAGTATAAAGGAAGGGAGGGGCGATTTAGGGGGAATTGAGAGAGAGCGGGGCCATATATGAAAAACCCTTGAATACAAATACGAGAAAGTAAAAGGGGTTTAGGGAAAAGAGGAGTGTGAGAAGGAGTAGGACAGATGGAGTGGAGGAAGGACCAAAATAATAAAGGGGTGAGCGACTGGGCGTTATTATGATGTCGAAAACTGAGCACGTGAGCACTGACTCTGAGCAATGCTCCCCTGCTTCGCCAGTCGCCACCTCACCTTTACTCCCATATGCGCCTTCCCTTCAACTTTACCCTTAACTTCTTTCCTCTCAATTTTACTGCTCCACCCTAAATATAAGAATCTAAGAATTTTTTTTCTAAATATAATATTCGAGTTGATTTTATCTTCTAAATTATTTTTCTGAATTCTTCTTATTAATTATTCATATCAAGTGTCGGGAAAACAAAAATATATATAAGTATGTTTTCATCAAAAGATAATTTTTAATATAAATAATTAAATAGGGTATTCCAAGAAAATCAACACATATTGTTAATAAATAGTTAACTTAACTAATTTTATTAATCAATATAAATGGGTTACCTAACTCTTATATATATATATTTGCTAAACAGACATATTCTCCTATTAAAAGCAATAATATTCGAGAATCTGTCAGGTATTAAATATAAGTATATCTCCTAGCGAAAGTTTAAATTTTAATTCACCACGTTATAAGAAACTAACTATTTCTATTATTGATATTAGTACTGTACCTTAGAATTGGTAAAACTATATTTAAGCCCATTAATTTATGCCCCGGTAAATGAGTCCAAAAATGTAATAAAATTGGACAGGATGATCATATCCTCAAAATGGGATACGTATGGCTTTTAATATATCCGTTTGCTACAAGAGTATTAACTGAATGCCAAATCAGTTTTTGAATCAATTTATTAATATATTTAATTTATTACGTTTTATAATTATTATTTTTAGATTTAATCACAAGGACATGGAAAATATAGAGTATATATATTTTCCAGTGCATGCCGTGAAACTAAAATCATTTCCTTAAATTGATATCAAGCGAATCATGAATATAAGAGTACTCATTTTGTTTTCAAAGTCATACACTAATCTTGTTCTTATTTAAAAATAAAAAATAAAATAAAACTATGGTTTGACTGGAAATTTTGATTAAAAAAATATTTTTATTACAAAAGGGAATATAAAAGTGCATGATTAGGCTTACTCTTAAGATACCCATGATTATGTGGCCTTAAAAAGGTCAATAGTTGAGCTTCCAACAAAGAAACAAGTCCCAATCTTGAAAATGCAAATAAAATAATAATAATAACGGCCCAAATCACCGGGTAAAAGACTAAAAAGGCATATATGAATGGATAAATTGAAGATCCATTGAAGTACAAGAAAGAGCAGTTGCAGAACATGGCTAAAGAAAACACTTTAACGGGAGAATGAAGAAGAGAGAGAGAGAGAGATATATATATATATATATATATATATTATATTTATATAAAAATAAACAAAGATGCCCAATTCCCAGGGGAAGTTTGGCACCACGTGGGTGTTGCAAGTTCGCCTTTTTTGAGGGCCTGACTCGGAGGCAGGCGCACTCAAGACTCCGACACTTCAAGCACAAACACCAATCACGAGACATACTGCCTCGCAAGCAAGCTCTCGACGGAATCTCCATTCCCGGGCTGTTTCCGCCGGCAGACGGACCAACAGGGGAATGGCCGACTCTAACTCCGAGGACCGGCTGCCTCCGGGGTGGACTGTGGAAGTGAAAGTGAGGAAGAACGGTAAGAAAGACAAGGTAATTGAAGTTCGCCTGCTTGCTTTTGTTACGAGGGTATATCTTTAGAAATGTGAGATCTCTTACCTCTGGTTGCTATGAGCTTCTTCTGTTGGACCGGAGTGAGATTCGGGACTTCGTTGCCTCAACGTGGACAACATTTGAGGACTTGGGATGTTTTTTCTGTCTCATATTTGCTCAAGGGTATATTGTGGTGGCGAGCTAGGTTTTCGCTGGTTTTTCAGAAATTTTCAAGCCAGAGTCTTGGTTTTCAAGCTATAAGTGGCTGCAGTTTGCGCGGTTAATAGGAAAACGAAATATCTATGTTGCTTACATTTTGGTTAAATCTGTTATTTGCATGTTCTCTGAGGACATTTTGTACCTTGTTTCTTGTACCTCAGTTGAAGTTTTTAAATCAAAATCGTCTTTGCCTGTTCTTTCTCCGTGATTACGGAGTCAGAGGGAAGCAATATAGGGAGAGTATTACAGGTCCTCTCTCCTCTGACTATTTAGGTTAAGAACCTATGAAAGGATTTTGAATGTTTGTGAACAAGTTTTGAGTTTATGAAATAGGCTAAGACTAATGCGGTGCTTCTTCTGGAAGCAGTATTCCAACAGATACATGCGAAATTTTGTACATGTCTGTATAATATTTGATATTTGATTCTGGAGAATTTTACCGCTCTTAGCAGTTTTTAAATTTCATTTTCCTGTTTACGAAGTTTGTAATTTTCATTGAAACTATGTATTCTGAATCTGTTCGCTTATTTTCCAGACGGAATTGCACCTTAAGTGAGAGTGTCATCTTTTGCCCGTCGATAAGAGAGTCATCTTTACCTTGATGCCAATTACATGATATTACATTCCATCCATCCAGCCAAATTAGCTGTGGAGAAGTCTAATTAGCACGCCCAATGTGCTCTATTTCTTGCAGCACTATGTAGGATGCCCTTGCTTTTTTACCCCAAAAAAGAAAAGAAAAGAAAAGAAATGATATTAAGACATGCATACTTTATGTTGACGGCACCATATTGTAACACACGCATACATACATAAGTTTATTGGACATATATTGATATTTTATGTAGAGCACGTGATCGTGTAATATTTTTTCTCATTGAAATGGTGTTCATCCAGCTGTGAAACCTATGCTGGTGCTAAGTTCAATTATCTACTGACATGTTCAATCTGAGGTATCCTTTTTCAAAATCCCATATCATATTTGCTCTCATTTTAACATATGTCCTGGTTAATGATGGCAAAATAAGTACTAAGTAAACAAACTTTTATCTTTTTTGTCTTTAGCCATTGCTTTGCAGTATTTTAATAATTAAAAGAGCCAGAAGGACATTTAGGTATCTCTAAATGACCATTTTCAAAGATGGTTCAACTTAAATCTTATGAAATTCATACTTATTGCAGTTTTACTTTTCTCCTTCAAGTGGACTTAGGTTTAATTCCATGGTAGAGGTTTCTCATTATCTTGACAAAGTTCAGAACAATCATGTCAGCGTCACAAGCAGTTCAAAAAATGTCTGTCTACAAATCCTCTTTTGATGATCATATATTGTCTGTCAAACATCTATCTGGTCCTATCGACTAATGTGGGAAAACTTTGCTTCTTTAAGCAATGTAGGTTGTAATTGAGAAAGGTGTTGCAGAAGGATTACCAGAAGGATGGATCAAAAAGACCAGAGTCACAAAAAAGAGTTCTACAGTAAGAAGAGATTCGGTAAACATTACTATCCCACCTTCTATTGAATAAAAATGCTTCCCAATTAGTTTTCATGTAAGCATTTTTAATATTTTGTATTTTAGCTTCTGAAGTTTTACCAATTGTGATTCATATTACTATGTCTTTTGAGCTCTTGAAAGTGGAAGTTATATCTTATATTTTAAGCTGTTAATTTGTCTTGAGGATTAATTCACTTCAAATTATATGCTGAATCTGCAATACTACATTGATCCTGTAAGTGGGTATGTATTCCAATCTATAAAAGATGCTGTACGCTATCTTGAATCTGGGGAGATAGGAAGAAATGCATTCAAACCAAAAGATAAAGGCGGCAGAGATATAGAATTGAAAGATGACATTTTCTCTGTAAGGGCGGCTATTATTTGAGTTCTTCCACTTTATATGCTTACTTAGTGTCTTAAGATAAACCTTAACTTCCTTCCATCCATCATTTGGCTTTCCTGGTGTGTCAAAATGCTCTCAACTAGCCATGTCAAAATTGGAAAAGGGACTATTTAATAGCCCAGCACTTGCGAACACGATGTTAAACTTCAATGGACTATAGCTGAAACTGCTACGTGATTAGCTTTGTTTTCTTTTCATTTGGGCTTTTCTTCTGTTTTTCCTTTCCATAGATGAGATTACAACCAAGTATTAACAGGAACAAGTTCAACATAGTGCATTGCCACGCCCTGACAGCCCCCAAAAATCCCATAAATATTAATGGACATCTTACAACATCGAACAATCTGACATGTGCTGTTTGAAGGTCTGCTTCTTGAATGAACTCTTCTTCTAATGTCTACGGACAATTCTTATGATAGTTTAAGTTGTTTCATCAGCAAAATGACCTTGTATTGGTTGAACTGGTTGACTGTGGACTGGGAGATTCACATATAGTAGAGGCTCTTGCTCTTTTCAGGTTGGCTTTTATAGTGTGCTTTTGTCTATGTCACTAGCACCTTGAAAACTCGTACTCATTCAGGAACTGGTGGTTGCTATTTCACTAGGATCTGCTTGTCGTGGGCATTCTATGTTGGATTTGGCTACCGTTTGAAATCTATCAAACTGGTAGTGATTGTCTCCTTCAACAAAGAATATGAGCTTCTTTGGAACACTATAAACATTCAACACTCAAAAATCATGTTAAGAAATAATGATTTTTCCTAATAAATCATATGTCTCTTGACATGTCAGCCATATTAGGAAATACAGTATAGTTCTTTTTTGTTTTTGGCAATCAATTTGCGTAGACGTATTATTATTAATATTACCTAGTGAAACCATCTTTGACTGTAGCCATATGAAACATAAAAATGTATGAATGCTTGGTAATAATATTACATTCAATATTTACTGTGGAAATAACAGTTTAGATCTGCTCAAAACAATGTCCTATTTCCTTTAAGTTGTCTTTGGCTGTTGGAAAGTGTGCAATCATAGGTGGATGCAATTGTATACTCGGATTTTTGAGGTTCTTAAGTATATGTACCGTTATTGTATTTCTCACATATGTTGTTGTTTTTCTTTACTGGTTCAGTCAAATCGTGGGCCACGCTTGACCTTTTTGTCCATTTTAACTTTAAACGCCACTGTGCCCCTATACCTAATTAATTAATATCAGCACCTTATTGGTCTTATGTCTTCTTTTTGAAAGAATTCTAAAATAGAATATTAAAGCACTCTCCTCGTTACTTGAATTAATGCCTGAAATAGAATTCATAAGCTCTTACGTTGCTGAAAAATATTTTCAGCCTTGCCCCTTTGTTTGCTCAACATAATTTCCCCACCAAGATTTTGAGTTTGATAATGCTTGCAGTGTGATTGAAATCTTTTTTTTGCTTAACGTAATTCCCCCACCAAGATTTCTAGTTTGACAATCCTATTTACAATTCCTTTTCAGTCAGCGGGTGTAGCCAGAAAACCAAAATTATCAGTTGGCAGAGTGACTCGACGCACCGTCATGAGTCAGGGCACAAATTTGGACCGGATAGTTAATGACCAACAGACTCCAAAAACTGCATGTACAGGAGAACCTATGCCTCTTTCTGAACACAGTTCTTGTCAGTGTAAAGTTCTGGCTTTTATCTTTCTTTCCTTCCTTTTTCCTTTTCTGAAGTAAACAATTTTGACTTCAGATAAAATTGAATGCCATTATCTTTGCCTTTCATCAATTTATTATTTGTCCTTATGTTCAGGGTTGAGTTTAATGACACTAATAAATCTCTTGTTGAAACTGGGGACTTCACATTTGCACCTTTTATATGTATTTGATTAAATCCTTTTTTGCTAAATATTTGATATTTTCTCAAAAATAAGATGCATTTTGATTCTGAGTAGAGTGTGACTCTGGTTGAAAATTAATAATTCCGTCTTCTTGTTAACATGGAATTAAGCAGGTTTTACATTTTTCGCAACCTTTGGTCCAAGTAATTTGGTAAAAACTGTTCAAGAATCAAATTATAATTAATGTAAATATTTTTGTATCTTTGGATAGGATGGGGCTGACCGTATGATGGTGCCTGTAGGATTAATTTTTCATGACTGTTACCTCTGATTCATGCTTGCTCATGCCTCATTGTATATGCAAACACAACTCATACCGTTCTGATCATTAATGAATTTTTGTTTTCTCAAGTCAACGAAGACACTGCATTTAATGTGCTTTAGTTACGTGTGGTGATATAGGTGCAATGGGCATTGAATTGACCGGCTTAGTTCCATCACAAGCTGAATGTTCGGATGAAAAAGAAGGGAAGGTTAGTTTCGCTGAAAGTAATTCAATTCCCAGTTGTGCGGATGGAGTTGTCCCAGAAAAGCAACTTCCTGAAAGTTTACAGACAAAACATGCAACTGAAAAGGTTCAAAAAGGCCAGGTTAAATCCAAGCGCAAGAAAGAGATTAACTTGCCCCGCCGTGCTTCAAAACGTCTTGCTGGAATTCAGGTTGATCCTGTTCCTGAACTTATAACAAGGCGCCGAAATGCAGCTAAAAATTCTGGCGAAGTAGCCTTGACAAACGAGGATAAATCTTCAGGGAGTTTCTCTAATGAAGAAACCAAACAGCTTATTGCACGTGAGAGTGCATCAGAAAGTAAGCGTAAACCTCAAAGCTTAATGAACACAATGGAGTCACCAAAGTTGAATCAGAGTAAGCATTCCTATGGGAGTTTATGTGCTCCAGAAAAACTTCCTGAGAAGACTTTTGAAGAGCCGAAAAGTGAAAAAGATCAAGAATGCTATTCATTTTTGTCTCCGGGGAACACTGTTACAGTCAACGAGCAAGTGAAAGACCTGGAAGGTGGAGCAAAGTTTGACTACTCTCTCGACTTGCCCCTTGGAGAACTATTATCAGACCCATGTATTGCATTTGCAATACAAACTCTTACCGAAGGAACATTCGAAACCTCCAAAAACACTCAGATTTCATCTGAAGTGAGTGATAGCAAGTATTCTGAAACTTCAGCTTCTGCTAAAGGGGATGACAGCAAAATCAAAGGGCAGAATGTGAGTGACTGGAAGCAAGAATGCAGTGCGTCTTCACCACCAAAGGACCTTGTTGCAGAACATGCTGGCAGTACTTCTGAATCGCCATTTGGTATTTCATGGATGGATCCATGCATAGAATTTGCAGTAAAAACTCTCACCGGCAATATCCCAGTGGAATATGATCCAAATAGTGAGAATTGCCTTCAGCAGCAGCTTGGCACTTCAAACAACCAGGGACTCGGTGAAGTAGCCTTCTCAGGCGGCAGCTTAAATAATCTGCGTCAGACCGACTATTATTGCAGCCAATACCTTGGAACACAGGATCCTGTATTTAAACAACAGTCGTTTCTGGATACAGCTTTACCCAACGCTAGAAGTGTCGGCATGGGGAATTCTACTGGAGCCAGACTGCACCAATATGGTGGCGAAGATAGAAGGAATGGGCGCCAGAGATAAACAATCAGCTTGTAACTGTACTAACTCAAGATTGCACAGTTAGGAAGTATTTTGTAAAAAAAGATAACCAACTAGACCTTTAACCTCCCTTTTGGTTGTTTTTCGAGCATGTTGTTGTGTACATTGTAGTTGTTGTTCTGAACTAGTTTCTTGTTAGCTTGACAGTAAAGTAGGTGTTTAACCTTTTCATTCAACTTCTGCACTATATTACCATATTTGCATTGCCTGGCATGGTCCTCCCCTTCAACTCCAGCACACTATTTTGTATACAGTTTACGGTTAAAATATCAAATGTTTTAGTTTGTTCTGAGGATTATTGCAGGGCTAAGGAAGAAATTGACACAGCTTCACCAGATACCAAGTACTAATGATTCTGTACCTGTCGTCTTTGTATGTCGTGGTGTTGGGGTCTTTTCTTCTTTCTCCAATGGCTGTGCCGAGAAAAGCAAGGTTGTAACTTGCGAGTTTTGGTTCCTTCATATTGATCTTATTGGCATTATTCTGCATCATTTTTATTCACCGAAGTGCTTCCGTGAAATATCATTAAGGATAAAGGGCAAAGTGAAGGAGGCGCTAAGCTGCCCTAAAGTTGATCCAAAATATAATTACAAAAATGAACTTTTGCTGATAGCTGGAGTATGTATCTTTTGATTCTTTTCTCAAGGCGAGAAGTTAATTATGAAATCAGAGGATTTAGATCATTTAAACTCAAAATAACACGAAAATTAGAATTAATCATATAGTTAAAAAATAATTTAAATTAAACAAACTTAAAAACAAAAATGTAATATTTTAAATTGAATTTAAATAATACAAACTATCAATCGAGCTGAACCTTCATCGGATGTGCACCGAACACCAAAGGCTGTTAAAAATATATCTAATAATCTCAAAAGCATAGACTGTGAAAGACGCAAAAGTGAAGATACTTAGATCATGAAGACGAATGAAGAAACGTTAATCCTTGCGATGAACACTTGGAGGCGTCGTCGTGTCCCTCTTCCCTCTGCTGCTTCCATCGCTGTCACTCCAACCCATCCCTTTCATCGGCCGCGTCACCCCATGGTAGCTCACCGACCGCCCGATGGCCGCATGATTCATCAGAATATACCTCCGAAGCTCCTCCGGCAACCTAAGCGTATACCTCTCCGTGTCGTTCGACGTCGCCAGAGGCTGTTCGAGCAGCGAATGTCCCGTGGAGTTGGATCTCGGTAGCTTCTCGAACATTCTCCATCTCGATCTTCGATTTCTACTTTGCTTAGCTCTGGCCTCGTCCATGTGGTTTGCTCTCTCTGTTCCTGAAGAGTTGCTACTGCTCGGACCGACATCGTTAGGCGCCTGCGCTTGCCGTGTCTCCCTCACTCCTCTCCTGCTACTGTCTGAATTTTCGTATCCATCGACATTAACATAAATAAAATTACTTTTCATTTCTATGAATCAAACCCATTAGTCCATAAATTAAAATCAATATATCAACGTGAACTTCCAAGTGCTTTTTAAGGAAATTATGTGATTTCGAGTCTCAGCAAATATTTCATTTTTTTTGCTACAAATGAGTACGTTGTTAAATGGTTGCTGGACCAAAAATATACATGTTTAAATTTTTTTTAAGACAGAAAAAATCTTTGTAGATTTAAAAATTCAACCTTTTAAATTAATTTAATACATCTGTCCAGAGTTTCCCATGAGCTGCGATATTTAAAAGGGATAACTAATGTTATTTGTTGTAGATTTTATGACATATGTTGATACTGATCAATTATTATTTTTATATTTGAAAATATTTTTTAAAAATTGAGATAGTTATCAAGAAATTTATATAAATATCACGTTAATTAATATTAACAACAAAATTGTCTTTTATCAAAAAATTAATATTATCAATATCAATAAACAGCAATATCAATTCTCCTTTCTTTTTTTTTTGACCAGCAATATCAATTCTCCTTAAAAACATAGCAATATCAATAAGAAATATAAGAACTATAATAAATTGCATTGTATGTATCCCTTTGCAAATTTTTCAAGCCCGCCTTGTCATTATAAATATTAGATTAAATTGAAAAAAAATAAGGACTCAAATGCAATAATCAATAAAATAAATAAATTAACAAGTCAAAATGATTGGCAAGGGCAAGCCTTTCAGGAACCAAAAAATATCTATGGAATTAATAAACCCTAAATTCCAAATCTTGAGATTCTTAAACGTGGAACCATACGTTAGCTGTGCGGCGTTACGAATGTAGAAAGAAATTTTCTTTGCATTGTTATTATAATTGCTGAACTTGTGGGAGTTTTCTCGCATAACCATGACGTGTTCTTAGATGTGTCAAATTGTTCATCAAAACATATGTATCACAATTTACGTAATTACCTTCACTTCCTTCGTTTAACTGATCAGTCGGCATTACGATGGATACGTCGCCGGAATCTGGTTTCAGATTTGCTCGACAAAGGGGACAAGTCACATGAGAAGCTAACCAGGCGTCGATACACTCCGGGTGAAACACGTGGTTGCAGTTTGGTATCAACCGGAGAGTCTCGTGGTCTTCGAACTCGCTCAAGCACACTGCGCATTCGAGCTCTCCTTTTCCGATCTTGTGGTTTTTTATGGTAGAATACACGAGGATCGGGAATGTATCCAGGACTTCCCGGTCGATTCCTCGAGAGCAAGAACACCGCCAACTGACGCCGTCAAGGCCACCGGCCGTATGGTTCTGGCTGGCGAACATTAGCGCGGTCCAGTAATTGAGGTAGACCGAAAAGACAGTGACGAATATAACAGCGCATACGGCGGCTGTGGCCTTGACAAAAATAGCGAAGTCGACGCCACCAGGAGGCATCGGCGGCGGCGGCAACGGCGAAGGTGAAGTAGCTGAGTGAGGAACGACGGCGCCAGAGACGTACATCGTCTGTAGGAGAAGGAAGAGTAGGCGGTGAGAGCATGCGAGTAGGCGGGAGTGAGATCGTCTGGTTTGGATCATTTGGATATTCAGGAGTTCTCAAAAGTGATCAGCGTCGGGTGAACTGATTGTAATTTATGAAGAAATAAAAGAAACCAAAGAATTTCTTGGAGAAGACGGCTCTGATTTATGAACAATAATTTGGTGAATTGGAGGACCAAGCAATTTAATTTATATTAATTGGATTAAATCGATTTTATTGAGAGATAAAAGAGCATATTTGTAATTTGGTAAATAAGTTATCATAAATACTTGCAGTTTATTGATGTATTCAACAAAATGTATGGCTATTCTTGAGCATTAAGAAACTAGGGAAGGTGCTAGAAATACACGCTGACTAAATGACAACTAATAAGTATTTTCAATTTTGACATTAACAGATCGGGTCACAAAAATAATCAACATAAATGATTAAATTTCCAGCAAAATTGTTGAAAATTATTACGTGCTGCATGAGAACACTTATCTAAACATAAAATACTGGGTATCCATCAATTCATACATCACAAGGATTATTTATTTGGATATAACATTCAATGGATTTGTGTATCTGATTCTTACTTTGATTCATGAAAGAGAGACCAAAACAAAGTAAGTATCCAATTTAATGAATTTGTTTACAAAACAATAAGGGCATATTTGGCATGGGCTCGATAGATGTTCAATGTTTATCTCTTATGGCCCATTTGGTTCATTCAATTTGTCGTAATGGATTGTAATGTAATGGAAGGAAACGGGATGTAATGCAATATGGATTAAATGAGTGTGTTGGGTATGTTATATAATGGAATTTAATTTTTTTTAATTTAATTAAATTTAAATAGGAGAAGAACGCCGGTGAAGATTGCTGCCAATATAATTCAAAGGATGTAGCCACACAACAATGAGGATGAGGGGTAGAAAAGTCAAGAGCGGATTGTGTAATGGGGATTACGTAGGTTTTTTTAATGTAATTCCTATTATTGAATTTAAGGGAATCATGATGCCATTATGTAACACTTATTACATCACCTTAGACCAACTAAACATTAAAAATGTGGGATCACGTTAGGATTACATGTAATCTTTTTTCATATAATCCTACCAAACAGGCTCTTAGTTGTTATATATATATATATATATATATATATACATACATATATATATATAGATCTTTATCAACTTCTATTGATATGAGTGATAGGGATTATAGTCCTCTGAGTAAGTATTTGTTCGAGTTTTAAAGGAATAAAAAGATGAGTTTGAATTACTGATTTGACATGTAAGATACATTTTAATTGTAACAAAGTTTTAAAATTTAAGCGGTAAAAATCTTTCGCAGGTAAAACAAAACCTAAAAAAATAAACATTAATTTCAAAAAGAGTATGTGACTCTAATGTTATCACCCATCTATAACGTTCCAACATCTCAGTCATTTTTTTTCCCCTTGTTTCTTTTGATCAATAGCTTCTACATAAAATGGGAGTTATTTTGATATCTTAGAGCGATCAAACAATATAAAGAAAAAAATGTATAATGTTATGAATATAATATTTTTATGGATGTCCATGTATCTATCATTATCTCCCTTATCTCCCAATATCTTTAATATTTGTCATTATTCCTGTTATCTGCAATTATCTTTTATTATTATATCTGTAGATTCTATCAAAGATGTAAAACTGTGTCTAGAAATAGAGACTATGTATAATGTATTCAGCACTCTTGAATGGAATGAGAAACACTTTCTCTCATTGATTTTCTTTTCTTCTCTATTCTTCTTCTTTATTTATAACAAATAATTTTTTTTTTTAATTCCTAAAAGTCGAGAATGGACAATTGGGGTGGACTCAAGGGCGTGCAAGCCTAACGAAAGTTGAGTGAAGAAAAGCCGTTAATGCGTTGGGCGAGTCAGTAGAAAGATTCAACCCGAATTCCAAGCTTGCCACTTGGCTGTTCATGCAAAGGAAGGGATGGGGACGTTCCATGTCAAATTGACAGAAACACGTCTAAATCTTTTATATTCAGTCTTGTGAAACGTGAACTGTTGTCTTATATGTAGTATTTCTTGTTTTCATTACAAGACTTTATCTGTAAACTACAAATAAAATTTTATAATTAAGACCAGAAATAGTATTATATTTGTAGAGTCCTTTTGTGCTGTCCTAACATTTTATACATACTGATATATTTGATAAAAACCAAAAAAAAAAAAAAATGATAAAAACGTGCAAACGAGCTGAACTAAATCAACTAATATTGCCACCCAAAA